ATGAGACAAGCAAACCGTAATGATGACGCATAGTGAGTTAGGTGGTGTGCTAGGGCCATGAGCACAGAAACCTAGAAGAGCTCTGAAAAGAGGGCAGTTAATTCAACATGTATTTAATAAACATGACGTGCCAGGTGATTAGGTGAAAGTTAGTGCACAGACATGGTCCTGGCCTTATGGAGCTTAAAGTCTGGAAAGCTTAAGATCTGAAGTTGAGGGAGGAGCCTGGACAAACGTGACAAGTTTGGAGAATCCTGACAAGTGCAAGTCTATCCATGTGAAGGGGGTACTTCAGGCAGTGAGAGCAGCATGCACACTGGCCAGTGATGAGAACACGGTGAGTCGGGGGACTGCAGGTAGTTCATCAGGGCTCCTGGGATGGGGTGAATGGTGAGGGAAAGGGCGGAGAGGTTTCTGGTCAGGTCCCTAAGCCCTGTGCTTCACCATGGATTGTAGGCTTTATGTTGTGTCAAAGGTTGTCACTGGGGGGTTTTAAAAGCAAGCGAGTGAGGACATCAAAGAGGAGATTATATTAGGAAGATCACTCTGCCTTCCGTGGAGAAAACATATTAGGCAGGAGGAATGAGGGTGGTTGGTAGGTGATATTATGAAGACCAGAGGGGAGAAAGCTGTTGGGTTAATCTGGATGGGAAACGATGGGGTTCTAACAGTGGCAGTGGAGATGGCGTGGGCAGATTTGAGAAGCAGGCCGAGGCCTCTGGACAGTTCCCCACAAGCACTCTCTCTCATGCCCTAGAACGACTTTCTCCGAAGGCAACACTCTCCGCTTATGAGGTACGGCTGGGTTCAAGCTAATAAAGTAATCCTGCTACTGATATGGCGTCACCTGAAATCAGGACGGTAGAATTGATGTGGTTTAATAATCAGATATTGGGAGCTCTACAACCACCTGCTTAATGATAATGACAACGACAAAATGATAACAGCCAAAGCTAAATTTTATGGTTCACTTACTCAGTGCCAGCTACCCTTCCAAGCATTCTGCATGTATTAACCCACTTATCCTTCACATAACCTGATGATGTAGGTTCTATTCTTATTCCTATTTAATAGATGAGGATATTGAGGCGGCACGGAGAGGTTGAGTATCTTGTCCAAGGTCACACAGCTGAGTGAAAAACCGGCATCTGAGCCTTGGAAGTCTCACTCCAGGACCTATACTCACCAACTCTACTATCTTCCTACAACGTCAGAAATATGTTCCTTCTTCATAGACTTTTTCAATTTGTTCTGAACATTCTGAACAATAGCAAAAGGTTTCCATGCCTCTCATGTCTCCAGAAATGTATTAGGAGAGGTACGNATATGTTCCTTCTTCATAGACTTTTTCAATTTGTTCTGAACATTCTGAACGATAGCAAAAGAAGGTTTCCATGCCTCTCATGTCTCCAGAAATGCATTAGGAGAGGTACANAGAAATATGTTCCTTCTTCATAGACTTTTTCAATTTGTTCTGAACATTCTGAACAATAGCAAAAGGTTTCCATGCCTCTCATGTCTCCAGAAATGTATTAGGAGAGGTACGTGAAGCAAAATGCTGGGTGTGAATGTTTTTGCAGATTCAGGCTCCAAAGAACAGAAAAGCAGAAAAAACAAACAATGGTGTTTTTAAACAATGAATGTTGTTTTCCCTTAGCCATAAGGGTATTTTGAAACTTGACAAATCCATTCAGTGTTCAAAGCATTCCACATTCCCCACCCACAAGCAAATGCCAGAAGGTGCCAGTTTGAGCCAACTCTGAGCTCAGGAAGATTTTCTAAATCCAGGATCAAATTTCTTAAATGTCCACACTCCACAGATGGATATCCACCACTGTCCTAACTGGTCTGATGAAAGCTGCTTAGCAACTTATCAAGCTATTAATTTAAAAAGAACATTTCAGCAAGAGATGAGATAGTGAGGCACGAATGCAGAAACAGAAAATGATAGGGTATTATTACTTGGAAAAGATTGAAAATCACTGCCTTAAAGTCTTTGAAATTCTAGAGCTAGGTTGTGCATGGGCTCAATTTTAATGAAGGACTTTCCAGGGGGAAAAAGTTCCTGATTACACAGGGAAAGCAATTTCCTGAATGTTCAGGAACTGACTCTTTTTGGAGAAGATGAAGAAAATAATGTTTAATATACTCATTATATTCATTCAACTTTTGCCCTCTGCCTGGCACTGCCCTAGGCACTGAGTCACGAAAACGAAAAGGAGGTGGATGTTGTTCTCAAACCCACCTCCTTTTCGTTTTCGTGTCTCAGTGAAGAAAGTGAAAAGTGAGGTGACGGGGATGAACAGAAACTGGGTTGCAAAGACTCTGGATTTAATTTCATAAACGATACAGCACCATTAAACAGAAGTGATCATCAGATTTAATCTTACAAGGATCATGCTGTTACCACGTGAAGAATAGGCTGTAGGGGGCGGACATCAAAGGCAGGAGGAAACTCCTCATAAGTCATCCCACAAACTGACTCCTTCCTTTCTTATCTCCAACCCATTCCTCTTATCCCCCAACACACAATTTAGAAATTATCTAATCTTTTAAAAGTGCTAGTTTCCAACTATTTGGGCTTCCCTGGATATCTATTACTTGTTTCTAATTTAATTCCATGTGATCAGAGACTATAGTTTGTATAACTTGAATCCTTTGAGGTTTATTGAAAGTTGTTTTATGGCTCAGAATATGGTCTCTCTTGGACTGTGTTCCTTGTGCTCTTGAAAAGAATGTGATCTATTATTGTTAGGTGCTGCTGTGTGCTACAAATGTCACATCAAGTTGTTGATAGTCTTGTTCAAGTCTTCTAAATCCCTAGTTTGTGTTTTCTTGTTCTAGCGAACACTGACAGATTGTAGACTTGTCTGTTTCTCCTTGCAGTTCCATCAGTTTTTGCTTCATGTACTTTTGAAGATGCTGTTAGGTGAACATGCACTTAGGACTGTTACGGCCTCTTGCTGATCATCAGCAAGATGTTTGGCATTATAAAATTATCTTAATCCCCGGTAATCCTCTTTGCGCTGAAATCTACTTTGCCTGATATTAATGACAGCCACTCCAGCTTTCTTTCGATTAGTGTTAGTGTATCTTTTTCCATCCTTTTACTTCTAACATTTACCCTTTATGTTTATGATGAGTTTCTTGTTCACAGCATATAGTTGGATATTGTTTTTTAATCCAATCTGACAACTTCTGCCTTTTCATTTGGATGTTTAGGATAGTTACATTTAAATTCCTTTAAAAGGTAACTGACTGCCCAGCCAGGCATGGCTCAGCGGTTGAGCATCAACCTAGGATCCAGGAGATCAGGGTTTGATTCCTGGTCAGGGCACATGCCCGGGATGCGGGCTGCAGCCGATCAATGACTCTCTCATCATTGATGTTTCTACCTCTGTCTCTTCCTCTCCTTTCCTCTCTCTGAAATCAATAAAGATATATTTAAAAAAAAAAAAAAAGATACTTGACTGCTTAAGCAAAAATAAAAATAAAGTGTCAAGCTTGTAATACTTGTAGAAGGAAAATGTGAGGTCACAACAGCACAGAGATGAGAAGGGAGGAATGTAAGTATACTATATAGAGTATATCACAAGTGGTGTATCACTGCTACAGCCCTACAGCAATAACTAAAACAACAAAACAAAGAGTTACGGCTAATGAGCGAGCAAAAGAGATAAAATGGAACCTTAAGTTTTGGTTTCTTCTTTGAGAATCTTAGCTTTGCAATAAATCACATCTTCTTTTAAAAAAAACACTTTCAACTCAACTGTTATATTTGTGAATTTTTCCCCCTGGTGTAAAAATGCCAAATCTCACTTGTTTTCCAGATTAAAGAGTCTAGAACCCTTCCACCTTCATTCTGGACACCTGTACTGGATATCTGGAAAAAATAACTTCAGCTTAGGCTATATCAATATCTTTGTAACAGGATTTTAAAAAGTACTTACTCAATAATTATCTTACACTTGATATATTAATATAGAAATTTCAAAAATCAAAATGCAATCCTAGGAGTTAAGCAGAAAGACTTTTGGTTAAAACAACGCAAGATTCCAGTGTGGGGGGAGAAAAAAATAATTTTCCTTCACCCGCCCGGGCGTGGCTCAGCACTTGAGCAGCGACCTAGGATTCAGGAGATCGCGGTTCAATTCCTGGCCAGGGCACATGCCGGGGTTGGGGGCTGGATCCCCAGTCGGGGGCATGCAGGAGGCACCCGATCATCATTGATGATCTCATCATCGATGTTTCTATATCTCTTTCTACCCTCTCCCTTCCTCTCTCTGAAATCAATCAAGACATATTTAAAACAAAAAAAATTTTTTTTCCTTCTACCTTCTAAGTAATTCTGGCTGGATTAATAACCAAATTAACATGAGACAGGTTAATAGAAGAAAGTGACTAAGTTTATTATGTATGTACATATAGAGGCTCCCTAAGAGAATGAGAACCCAGGACATGTCAGGCAGTTAAGGCTTATGTGCCATCTGGAGCTAAGGAGAAAAGGGTCGGGGCTGTAGCTTGGGACTTCAAAGGGCAGGAAAGCAATTTACCAAAAAAGGGAAAAGCAAATGTTTGGTAAATAAATGTTTGCTGGGCCACCTTGAACCAAGGGACACAGACTTGAATCAAAGGGCCTTGCTAGGTTCCTCCTAGCTTATCACACTTAGTTCATATTAAACTATAGTTAATTATGATGCTATCTCCCTTTCTGGCCCAGGTCCTCTATCCAAATGGTTTTAGGCAGTTGGGGTAAAGTCAAACGTTCTTTTTGAGTTTTCTGTTTCTTAAAAATAACCAGCTTAAAACAATCAATATCCCAAAAGGCCTTGGCATGGCAAACTCTACTCCCCCACACCAGCATCCTATAGAAACTTACATGTATTTTCTTTCAAAATAAAAAACGAAAGAAATTTAGACTCAGTATGACTGTCAGCTGCGCAGGAAACCAGTCTTTCAATATCATAGCATTGCTTATCTAAACAAGTAACTGTAAGAGACAAAATTTCAAAGACATTTTATTCGAAATTCTCCTTCTAGGAGAAAATATATGTAGCAATGTTTACACATGCTTTAATAACTTATTTCACTGTACAACTTGCATTCAATATAACAACACAATAAACCAGCAAAAAAAGAAAATCAGTCAGCACTTAAGTAATCTATCACTTAAAACACAGAGTACAGGATATACCGAGGTGGCATGTGTACATTTTTTATGACTGAGCATCAGTCACCTAGTTCAGTGTGTGTCAAATCTTTCTTATAGTGATGTGAAAGGCCATTAGGACTTTTCAGAACACAGCATGTTTTTGGGTAAATCTGGGTAAGGGCAGAGGGGCTCATCACTTTTATCCCTTTCTTATAAATATTTTCCCTTTTGTGTTACTTCCAGTTTTAAATAACTTTTTTTATGCTTACATATACTTCTATTATGTCAACACTGTTCTAGCACAGAATTATGTTATTTTATAGCTAGCAAAATGGTCCAAACACATTTAAAAAACAAAAGAAACAAACCACTCAGTTCTGCCAAAGGAGCACCTAGTAAAACAGCATGTCAGTCAAGTTTCTCCTGCTACTCCTCACACAATGCGGGCAAAGACACATGGCAACAACTTCAAAAATATGTGCAGAAATGTAAGAAGACAAGATACTATTCTCTATTCCTGAAAAGAGATATTAGTATGTTCTCTATTGCATTTAATAGCCTCGGAGTTACAATGATTGCCCCATCAGGGTAAGACTATACGAGAGGAAAACAAAATGACAATGACTGACTAGTGAAATCCAAATTTCCTCCAAGTAATTATATTCTCCAAGGGAAAAAAGGGCACAGAAGGTACACATTTCCACTTGGCTCAAAAATAATGAAAATCAATTAAAAAAGTTGGCAACTACTACTGAAACTTAAAATCCAATTTCCTATATTTTCTTTGACAGACCTTAAAAAAACAAACAAAACCACCCTGTGTTCATCATGATCGGACTCTACACACTGCTTGACATTTCTACACAGGCTGAGTCTGAATGACTAAGTCTACAGAGTAGGATCTAATAATTAACTTTAATTAAACATCTGCTTGAATATTTTCTTTCTCAAGCTTAGTCTAGGTTCAAGTTAACTTCTGGTCTGTGGAACTGAAATGATTCAGATGCCCTAGTTCTGAGCTGATTGCAACAGTATTACAGTAATCCCAAGGACCAAGAAACACCAAAAGGTGCGAAGTCAACTAGTACTCTGTCTCCGGAGGCTAACTCAGATTTCACTTCGGTACATGTAAACCATGAATCCTAAGTTTCAAAAAACGTAGCTGTGGTCAAGTTTATATCCTATTATTATATCTTTCTTAAAGATAGCGATAATATTTATTATAACTGTAAACATAAGTCTGTATCCCAAGAGAGCACAACTAGGAAAAGATCCATCCATTGCTAACATTGTTGACATTTCCTTGCAGACTTCTAGTGACAAGTGTAGTGTAACTAATCTTAACTGCCATTGCTAAATAGGACTCTGGGTATGACCCCAGGGACTGATGTGTCTCATACCACTGAGCTAGTTTAGCAGCAATCATGATTGTGATGAAATATATTTAGTAAGTTACACATTTAGAAAGTCATTAGAACATCTCGTTCTTGTACACTAGTATAGAAAGATCTTCCAAAGATAAATGAATGTAGGCCTGGTTTAATTTTCTCAGCCAGAGCCATTATTATGTTAAGATCGCCCTCTGCTGTTAAATCAAGGTCTATCTTCAGGTTCCGAAGAGATTTAAAGGGCTTTTTCCCCTTCTGCCTACAAATAAAAAAATATATACATGTAATATAGAAAATGCCCAAAGGGAGTAAAACAAAACAAAATGCACAAAGGTTCTTCTCCCATATAGGTTTACTTACGTATCATCTTCTATGTATTTTACTAGCGTCAAGGCTTTTCTGTGAAGGACGAGTAGAAACTGTGCAAGGAAAGTACTCCTGAGAGATAAACCAGGTTTCAAATGAAAGACCTACCGGAAAATGAAGTGTTTTAATAAAGGTTTTGCTCTCATTCTACTTACACGGCATGTTTCTATCACAGTGTTAACAGTGTCTGGCAGATAACACACATTGGAGCAGTTCCCTCAAATCACTTCCCCTGCTGTCTCATAACAGGCAGGAGTATGACAGAAGTACTGAGTCTGGGAGCAGTGTGACAGTTCAACTTTAAAGAACTGGTATTTTTCACTATACCTCAGAATATATGCATATTTATTTTATTATTAAAAATCACAATTGGCAAGGTGACTCGGCTGGTTGGAGTATCGTCCCATACACGAAAAGGTAGTGGGTTTGATTCCTAGCTAGGGCACATACCCAGGTTGCAGGTTTGATCCCCGGTCAGGGTGTGTGTGGGAGGCAACCGACCAATAGATGTTTCTCTCACAGTGATGTTTCTTTCTCTCTCCTTTCCTCTCTCTAAAATCATTAAAAAAAAATCCTAACTGTAAGTTACTGCCAGTTGTGTTAGTTAGCTTCTTCTGTCCATGTCTTCAAATAAAGATGAAGCCCCCAGAAGTTGAGCCACGCTTAGGTTATGACTTTGAGATATCCGTACCCCTCTACTACCCTTGCTGGGGAGAGAGGGAAAGGAGACATGGGGAGGGTGCAGGCATAGCAGTGCAAGGATTTCATTTCAGCTTCAGAAGTATGGAATCACATGACTATGTATTATCCCTGAACTTTGAAATACATCACTGACCACAGACCTGGATGAAAATTTCTAGTTAACCTAAGGATCTCATTATTTCAAAGCTACATCTATGATGTTTCCTGACCTGATCCCCAGAATGATACTATGACAAAGCTCTAATATACTATGAAAAAAATCCTATATAGTCTATAATTTTCTTTAAATGTGTAATTAAGCATGATTTTTTTTCAAAAGGAGACAATAAAAATGCTGTCACTGAAAAGGAAGTATAGGATTTAAAGACATTTTGGACTCAATTAACATGTATGCACCCTCTTTCTTCATCCCCCCAAAAGAAAATACTTTGAGTTATAGGTTAGTGCTAAGAATTAAAACATCTATTATTGAATGGGGGAATGATGTACCTTTTAATTGTTAATATTCAGACTACTCCTCATTAACAATTTAAAAAAAAATCATTTAGACACTTTAAGACCAGAGACGCTAAAGAAGACAAGGACTCAGTTCTAAGCTGTTCTATGTAGAGCACAGGCATTGCAGGGTACATTAAATAAAAAACAAAACCACGTCATATCATCCACTCCAACAATCTCAGGTCTAACATTTACCTGATCCAGGAAGGCTTTTACTAGCGTGTCTCTGTGTAAGACATCTTGAAAAATATTCCTATGGAGAAAATAGTCCAAATGTTGAAATGGCTACACATTGCTACTTCTCATAATCCTACACTCTAGCCAATAAATTAAATTCTTAGAAATGGGATATTATATATAAACTTTCTTATAAAAACCAGATGCATATATTTGAAAATATAAAATATATATTGATTTTAACTCAAGTTTGTATATTACTGGAGTCTGTCAGGCCACTATGTAATTATCTTTCTCTTAAAGATATAAGCAGTCCCAAGAATGATATGCAGTATCTATCCATCCATTTTAGTGCCCTCACTTTTTAAAAAAATATTGAGAGCCTTAGGCATTAGTAAATATAATTACCAATTCCTGCCATCTCAAAAATAACACAGCAATAAAAACAGACACACAGCACTACCACCAAAACCCAAAACAAAACAAAAGGATTATGTCATGTACTAATAACTTACTAAACACTTTAGGATGAAGAAAGGTAAAAGGATGACTGCTAAGGATCATCCGAGTGGGATTAAGGAACACAGCTACATGACTGTCTGAAACATCACAACCACTGGGTTTGCATCACAAGCCCGCCACCTGGCAAGTAACTTGGACCAGCTAGTGTTGTAGGAAAGCATTACCTGCTTTGACATAAATCAGGGCAAGAAGTTAAGATGTCATGCACAGCTGAGAGAGTGCGTATCTAACACCACCTAGGACAGAGCTGGTGCTTAAAAAAAGATTGTTCTCTTCCCAGGTCTGAACTCCTTTGATTTTTTCTCTTCTTCCCCCCTCTCCTTGTCTTCTACTTTCCTAAAGAATTTACTGAGATGCTAGGTTATACTCGAGTCAAAGAGGTAATGTAACATTAAATAAGATAAGCAATTTTTAACTGAAAAAACTGAAAGTAGTAGGAATTATCATACAACTGAGAGGAGTGGCAGGGAAGAGGTGTGTGTTCAGGAGTAAATGAAAGTACCTAAAATGTCCCCATTTAAGAGAAGGATATACCAAACAACAGACGGAAACCTAAAAGGGGAAAAAACCTCAGCATTTCACGATCGTGAGGTGTCCAATCAGTGGCCAATGTGGACCCCGACGGCACCCCTTCTCTGGCTTTGGAGAGCGAATAAGGCAATTTAAGGCCACTGTTTTGAAAATGCCTTCTTTGCTGAATAAGTATCTTTGTCATAAGGAATTAGATAAAGCAAGTGTTAAAAAAGTACTTCCAGGGACTGAAATTATTTTTAAAAGTTAAAATTAAAAATATCTGACATGTATTTTAAATCCACTGCACGTCCTGCATAAACATCAACGCCTTTTCTCCCCCTAGGTCACCACTACTGGAAACGGTGCTCTCGCTCTCAGGCGGTTCCTTACCCTTTCACACTGAGTATGTGCACATACTTCACCCAAGTGGGGTTACCTTGTCTTTCTCACTCAACATGGTGTTTGTGAAATTCACCTATGTCTTTAAAGATGGACTAGTTTATTAATTTTGACTGTTGTACAGCTACCCATTTCCCTAATCATGGACATTGTGGTAATTATTTGCAGCTGCAAGCACTGTCATATGAACATTCTTGTAAATGATTCCATGAGCACATTTACAAGTTGTTGTTTTTCTTATTTTTTGGAATAGCTATGTAGAAGGGATGGCAAAGTATGTGCATCTTAAATTTGACTGAGTAGTGCTAGGTTCCTTCCCCACCCTCAGAGAATGTGAATTACCAAAGACCTACATCCTCACAAAGTAATATAGTCAAAGTCGAAACTTTTCCTATTGTTTAAAATAAACTACAAAGTAAAATATGTCAAAAATATGGAAAATTTAACAATTCACAATCTAGTGGCTGAAAATGTATTTGTACAGTTTTATGTTTAGAAAATTTACTTAAAGCTGGAAAAAAATTTTTAAAATTCCTAACATTATTTTGTTATGATTAGCTGGCTGATCATAGTTTGTCAAATCAGTGAAGCAAGCATAATTGGCTAAAATGAGTAAGAAATGTAAAAGTATACACATAACCTCTCTAAAAAAATTACTACCTGGTTATAAACTCATTCTAAAGTGCACCAAATTCCCCAAAAAGAGCTCTGAAGCAACCAATCAAAAGAGAAGAAAAATATTAAATACTTTAGGAAATATTAAATACTTTTGGAGGAATAAATTAATTCTGAGAATTTCTACATATATACCAAAATTACCAATACTGTATTTGAAAACTTTGAAAACTTAGTGACTGGGAATTCCAATTTTCACCAATTCATCTTCTAAACCAATTTTGTTGGTTCTAAGGAACCAACAAGAACACTGGAGAGCTGGGAAAGATAGGTATTAATGAAGTCATCTTTCTGCACCTAGTACATGAGGCTGGGATCCAGTGGGCATGATGTTCCTTTTCTGTTTTTGGTCAGCACCTTCTGTGTGACTACTGGTGCTACACATGTCTGTTGCCTCAGCTCAAAATTTTTGTAGAAACACAGGACAGTTGCTCGCTCCAATTTTACTTCTCCCTTATATACTCAAACCCNATGTTCCTTTTCTGTTTTTGGTCAGCACCTTCTGTGTGACTACTGGTGCTCCACATGTCTGTTGCCTCAGCTCAAAATTTTTGTAGAAACACAGGACAGGTTGCTCGCTCCAATTTTACTTCTCCCTTATATACTCAAACCTGTAATATTCTAGTTAACATTTATTGAGCTTATTCTATGTGTCAGACACTTTAAATTAATTAGAGAGAAGCATAATACTATACTCCAAATCTTTTCTTGATTTTAGAACATCATTTAAGTGTTTTCTTAGGGTTTTACAATTCAGATTTATCATCACCATTTTTTTTCCTAATTGGATCCACTTTGAATATTTTATTATCATCACTTTTTATCTTTGCAATTTATTAATCAGACTTTATGGTAAGGAAAAAATACCACAATATAAAATTCAAAGTAAAAGAATGTTCTATTAAAATTTTTGACAGTTTTGCTGTATTTTATATTCACATATCAATAAAGAAAAGACTCAGAATTACTTCTTTGGTTTAGTTAATAAGTTTTTTAGTGACTCGTACACATTAGATTATAAGCAATGTTAAAGTTGGGACTGTCTGGCCACTATTAACCTTAGTACCTAGTACTGTGCCCAGGGGCTCAAAAGATATTTTTTAAATAAATATTTAAATATTTATTTTTAAGAACTAATCTAATCTATCTTATGGGAAATATGATTATAGTAAGAAAAATAGACATTTAAGAAAAATTGGTTTATTAACCAAATATTTCTCCAAGCATAATTCATAGTAATGTTTCTTTCCCTTTAAACACAGACTCATTTGTTTTGATCTGACTCATAAAAGATACAACTTCATAATATTGCTTAATGACAATATCAAAGGACAGGGCATGACTTACAAATCAGGAGTGAAGCTTTCATCCGTGTAGATGATCGTATCCTGAGCCATGTCCTCCTCTGAAGTGGCTCTCCAGAATGCCGTCAGCTCTGATCGCATGTACCTGCGCTGATTATAGATGTGCTCATGACAGGGTGGCATCTGCTTGACGGTATTGATATCCACGTCTATGTGTGTGCTGGGGTAGGGAGCATACATGACCTGCCGGAAGGGTAGCACAAAGCTTCCAGTTGAATCCTGTCATAATGAAAGGAAAACTTGCTATCTTATATGCCAAGACACATAAAGAATTATTTTTTATATTAAAAAAGAAACTGGCTTTGATTTAGCAAATCCATCTCCAGAAATTTATACTCAGATATTAAATCATGATTGTGTGCAAAGTTTTAGTGATAGGAACAACCTAAGCATCCAAAATGGGAAGTAATTAAATTAAGCTGCTGAAGTTTATGTGTTGATACTGAAAGATATTCACAATACATTGTGAAAAAAGTAGGTTAGAACATGCTGAGTATAATTCAATTGTTTTGGGTGGGGGGAGATGTGAAAAAAATACATACAGACGAGTAAGAGACCAGAGACACATGCCAAATGTTAACAGTGGCTATTCACCGGATTGTGAGATTACAAGGGACCTTTTCTTCTTCTTGACTATCCACATGCTTTTTTAAACTTCAATAATATGTGTATTTTTATAAGTAAAAAATGCACTTCTTTCTAGGTGTGGTTGGTGGGTTGCCATGAACAAGGACATACAGTGTAAGGCACTGCGCCATGTGCCTGAAGAGAACAGAAGACAAGGGCTGTTTCCAATTTTACCCCTCTAGAGCTGTGATAATCATCTTTATAAGTAAATCTTCTGCACATATAATTGCTTTCTTAGGATGAATTTCCAGAGGTAGAAATAGTAGGTTAAGTCTTTAGACATTTGTAAGGCTCTTGATATATAATGTCAAACCATTTTCTGAAAGTCTATACAATTTATAATTGCATGGAAAATTCTTAATAAATATATTTTTATTAAGTTATAGTTTGAAGTTTTCCTCTGTGGATCTAGTAAAGGATCCTTTTTGAGATAACATATAATTAAATGAGAGGTTGCGGAGGAAATAAAAGTACTAAGTACCTTATTCCTTTGATAGGAAGATGTTCTAATTTTCAGATTTATACAATTCAAATCAGAAATGAGATTCCCTTAAATAGTTTCTGTATTTAAATACTATTATTTTGAGCTTATAGCATGCACATTATTCAAAGTGCAAAAGGTGAATATCATTTTTATTTGTAACAATTTTTAATAGTTTTCTTTCACTTTGTGATGTCTACATCCTCAAGAAAACATCCACTATGAAAAACTCACATACACATTAGGAAATCTACATCTTCACATGTTTGATTATAATCAAAACATCACCAACAGATTCGATAAAGCAAATAACTGTCTTCCCCATAATTACTGACAATAGCTGAGTAACATTTATCTGTTTTGTTCCTTCAAAAGCAGACTTAAACAAATAAAAGAAAAATGTAAAATAATTTTTCTAACACACACACACACACAGGAATTGATAAAATCTTATACGCTTTTTTGTTAGAAAGCAGCTTTAAATTTTTTCCAATAAATGAATATGGTACATAAACAAAATGGTAACACAAAAATTCAAATCTGTTGAGTACAAAAGAAATGTCCTCATTTTAGATAAGCAATCTGATTCAAGCACATATTAAAAAAATTTTTTTTAAATCCTAAGGATAGCCAGGCAGCTACAGGAAACCAGAAACACCAAGATGTTCTGTGATGTTTCACTGACACTAACTATAAATCAGTAAGACATATACTCTATGCTTAGTCCTGTGTAAGTTGGCCCTTGGCATAAAAACATGAGATACATTAAATACTAATGCTCAAAACATACTTATGTTAGATGGGCCAGGTACAGAAACTCAGGTAAAGAAATGGGTACGGAATCTCACCAGGGCAGGAACTCCTGGATGCCCAGCAAGGGGCAAAACTGGGAAAACAAGACCCCTGTCCCCAGGGTAACCTGTCTTCCCCAGCATATTGCTGGTCATGTGGTTTATACCCCCTGAGCATTCCTCCCTAAAGATAACATCTAAGCCTCAGTTGTATTTCAGCTCCAGGCCCAGATAAACAACAAAACCAGACAAGTGGCACTGTGGCTGCCTCAGAACCAGATACATTGACTCCTGTCCTGGCACTGACCCATCAGTGAGGACATGACCCTGAAAAGAGCCCACCTGGAAAGCTGATGAACATTCTACTGAGACACTCTCTTGAGATCTCCCCTAAGATTTCTACCTGTGATAAATACACTTAAGACAAAGGACCCACGGCTGGCTCCCCACCAGGGGAGCATGCCAGCACCATCTCCATCCCTCCCGAGGGGACCCCATGAGATTTGTAACCAGGGGAGCAATGGGCAGCAGCAGCTCTGAACCTGTCTCCAAGGGCCCCGTCTCTCTCTGACCCCTCAGTGAGCCAAAGCAGCCCAGCCTGGGCTCTCCTGTTGCCCCTTCTATGCTCTTCCATGTCTCACTGTCCCAAGTATACTTTTGCTGCCATCATGGACCCAATACCCTTTGGCTCAGTGCTGAGTAGCCCTTCCCTTTGGATTTCCCCATCCTCTTTTAATAAATTTAATTTTTCTTTATGCACGATCTGAGATGGCTGTTTAGCCTGACCATGCACCACTGACCTTAACCTTTCAACTTATAGTCCAAAAACTGGTTTCCCTTGTGACAGTGTAAACTCTACCTTCAGCAGGCCTTGGACAAAGAGCCCTGACTCATATTTAAATGATGATTCTGCTTCACATAATCTGGAGCATTTTCTCTCTGCTGGAGTCAGAAAAAGGCATAATGTTTTTACTATCTGTAAAAGAAAAGATTTTATTAGCATTAAAATATAATGTAAAAAGAACAGCATTAGTTTGCTTATGAAAGAAACTGGAATAGAAATTTCAATTATTTTTGCCAATAAAATACATCCTGAGAAACAGGTATTGCTTAGTCACCCAGAACTGTCCATGGACTATAACAGCTGTTGCTAAAAATAGTGATTCTGTCGTCAAATAAGTTTGGGAAATGCTGGTAAATTACAGTATAATATCTCTAAACCTTTAACATCTAAATACATGTTGTAACTCTCCAGGTGACTGATATAATATGCAGACTTTCTCAAAGTTATTTTGATAGGGGTACGAGGTTAGAATATAAATATGATTTTTGTTTTTCCTCTCTTCTCTTCCGTTCTCTCCCTTTTACTAACAGAATGTGTAAGTAATTGATTAATCAACTGTGTATGTCTATCGTTACGTTCTGGCTAAGATTCTGTTGCAGTTCTCAGTTGATCAGTCAAGAACAAAGAGACTTTTAACCCAGCCCTGAACTTACATGCCTGGACAGACCATGGAATCCCTATTTCTTGTTTCTTCACCCAGCAGCAAGCGCTTTTCAAACAAGTAAATAATTTTGGACAAGAAAACTAAATCAATTAAATTAGGCAGAATTATGGCTTTTGTTTAGTAGTTCTACACATGAAATCCCATTATAATGAACATCAAGAAGTGTCCAAATCCTTCATGTGAATGAGCATTAATTACATCACATTTGATTTAAAATAATCAAGCCATTGTTTGGGGTTTAGAAAACTATGATTCTAACAGGATTTGACCTATAGGTCTATTAAGGAAAGCAAAAAGCCACTGAAGGGAAGCAGAATCTGCCACCCCCACATGCACCTTTTTGGCATAAGGATTACTTTAGGCTGATTATTTTTAATAAACAGAACAGGAGAAACCCTGAGAGTTACCCTTTTTAAGAGATTTTCTCCATTAGGAGAAGGGTAACTAAATCTCCCAGAAACCCTATCAATAGAGAAGGCCAAGACTTGGATCTGCATAACAATACCCCTATCCTGATAATCTCCAGTCATCAGGCTTCCCCCACCCCCAGCCGCCCAACATCTTCTTTGGTCTTTAGCTGAAGATGGCATTTAAGTTGAAAGCTTGGGCCATTTGGGGAGGTACTCAATTTTCCTGTATATCTCCCATGCATATAGAGGGCATACATGTTATTCAACTTGTCTGCTTTTCTCCTGTTAATTGGTCTAATTACAAGGGGGTCTCGGCCAAAAACCTAGGAGAGGGGAAAGAATTTTTCCTCCCCTGCATGATGTAACTATGTTGGAATTCAGACTACATTTAGAGTTTTTATATTAAAGCAGTGGTTTATAATCTAGAACAGTGGCAACCTTTTTCTCAAAGATAAAAGGGAAGCTATTAAGCCAGAAGACAATGTGGGATGAGGAAAATGTTTAAAAACACACAGTCCCTTCCACTGAGCCTTTGTCCCTCCAAGAAGCAACCCAGAAGTCTCTCGGTGGAACCGGAAGGCTCTGGGGGACACGGGTGGAAAGCTGCTTTCTTGGAGTAATAAAAGTAATACCACTAGTCACTAGTTGCAGCAATAAATAGTTGTATTAGAAATAACAGTTTGGTAAATTAAGGCTCTAAATATAGAGGGTAGCTTATTACAGAAAAAAAGTTGTGAATATATTTGTCAAGCAAATAATCACTCCTAACATGTTTCCTGTGTAAAACTTAAAAAAAAAAAAAAAAAAGATTTGCTTAAACTGATTATGTGTATATATATATATATATATATATGTACACACACACACACTCTTATCTTTCTAATTAATGGTTGGTGAGGAAAAGAGCAAAATCCCTTAGCTTGTTGCCTACTGCTTGAAAAGGTAACTGTTCACTAATTCTTTATTAACTCCTGTAGCAATGAAGGAAGTGGTCACAAACATCACTGAATAAAGTATAACTTCCACTGACCACTTAATAGAAATAGGTCTCTAAAAGGGACAGATTTAGGGGGAAAGCAAGAAAATGAAATCAAGGTGATCAGATAACATTTTGTTGAAATTTGCACAAAAGTACAGAGCTATCTTCCTATTTATTAAAGATAACGTAAGGAAATTAAAGACAATTAAAAAATATCTAAATTTAAAATATTCTCGAAACCATTTATATAATACCGAGACTAGTATGTATGAGTTATCAAAATGAAACTGATAAGCAGCTTCCTATTCAGTTTAAACTTCTAAAAGCTTAGGGTGTCACAGTAATTCGGTCAGATTATCCTATTTATACTATTCGATCATTTTGACTTCGACCTAACCTTTAAATTACAATGCAGATGTCATCAGTATTAAAAAGTCAGAGTATTTGCTGGATCATAAAATAAATTACCTTATTTACTTTCTCTGCACTGCTGCCTACTACGACAGAACAGCCACAGGTTTGTAAGTGTGAGCTAATGGCACTGTAAATTGAAGAAAAGAGATTTAAAAAACATTGGCTGTAAAACAATTTCACAAACTAAAAAAAAAAAAGTGAAGGCAAGTGAGCTTCAAATAATTTAGAATAGCTTTACATAAGGAACACTAAAGCTGCCATCTTTATTTCTACATGACTTTCACAGAGATTTTCTCATTTGAACCTTAAAATAACCCATTTAGTAAAATATCACCATTTTATAGTGGAAGAAAGTGAGGTGTAGAGAGAGGTGAAGCGACTTACTTAAAGTCAAAGGGGATTAAAAATACTGCTATGAATGGCTGAAACTGAACAGAATCAGGACTAATGCGCTTCTGATTTAAGCCCTTAAGGCTTCTAGTTAGATACACCTTTGCCTCTAGGATTCCATCATAAACTGAAAAGGCTGTGGGCCTAAAAGCAAATACTTTATCCTTTCACACCTCATTTTCAAAAACAAATTTCATGATAATCTGCAATTGTAAAGAAACACTAAAGCAGAAGGTGAGACTATATATGTAGAGAAAGCACTTAATTAGGGACTAACATGTAGGCATTCAATAAATACTGGCTATTATTATAATTTTCCTTAGAAGAAATATAAACAGCAAGTTAGCTACTAGCTATAATTATGTGCCAGGCACTGTTTTAAATGCTTAATCTGATTGATCTCACTCAACACGTAGAACAATCCTATGAATACCAATCCCCTACTATTATTATTTCCATTTTACAGATAAAGAAATGGAGGCACACAGAGTTCAGGTACACAGCAGTAACCCAGGAAACCTGATTTTAGAGCACACACTTTTAAGTACTAAAATCTACTGGATGAGTACAAATATAAATAATTCTCTTTTCTAGGCCCAAATAACTCAAGTACATCCACAATGCAACTTATATGAAAGGGTTCTTAGTTTCAGCTTTAATGAGAAGTAAAACAAGAAACCAGAACCAAACAAGGGACCAAGATATCTTGTCTGGGCACGATGGAAACTCAGCTTCTTTAAATATTAAAAAAGAGTAAAATCAAATATATCACAGATATGTAATAAATAAAATAATAACACAAAGCTAAGTAATAGTTCAAATAAGCAATGTTGTCCCTAGAATAATATGGAGTAGCCACTCGGTTATTTACTTCCTTCCATATCGTGTCACAGGTGAGCAGTGAGCATACGATTTGTATCTGCTTCATCCAGCTTTTATGAAAAGAAACAAAATTCTTACTTGAGAAGAAAGCCTTCATGACAGCTATCACCAATGTCATCATCATTGAGAACTGTTTCAGCAATCTAAAATGCACCAAAAAAAAATTATTCTGGGATAACATAATGTTGAAAAACCACTTTTAATATACTAGTTTCCTGAAGTCTAGATTCAATATAACACATTGCCCTCATTTCTAAGCATCAAGAATCCCCATAAAACAATCTCTGTGCACGATCATAAACTTTCAGAAGAACAAATGTGAAGGCTGGTCAGGCAGGTTAAGCAACAATTTTCACAAGAACAACCTCCTCTTCTAAGCTGTTAGAATCAGGAGACAAATCTTAATGACAAAGATGTCAGACAGCAACAAGAACTGTTTTCTAAAGACTTCTCTATACATGCATAGTATGTGACCCAAAATGTCCTCGACAAATGATTACGGAAACGAGATTAGTGAATATGGGTAAATCCCATTTGTACACTGTTTTGTTACCAAAAGTACTGTATTAAATACCAACTGCTTCTATAAGGTCTGAAATTCTCCCACTTCTAGGAAATATAAAAGAGGTCAAATACATAAACTTAATGTTATCATAATTATCACTGACTAAGAAGCCTCTATAATTTTAAGTGTGTTTGTTGAAATGCCAATACTTCATATGAATAGTATGTAAGACAAAAAAATGCATACTGCTAAAATGAGAATACTACTAATATACATAACAGTGATGTAACTCAAGAAAAAAATGGATAAAGGCTACCATTGCTCCTATTTAATAAAGAACTTACATCTATTTCTTCAGGAACACTGTGTGACTTCATAGACGAAAGCAGTTCCATTACAGGAATTACTTCTCCAGTAAGCATTGGAATAATACTCTGACCCTGCACAAAAAAGTACAATGAAGTGAAGAAAACCACACAATACAAGATTAGCTGGACAATAAAAAATTAAATAGGGAAAGCAAATAATAATGCCCTTTTACAGGAATATCTGATAACTTGTTCAAACACAGCTCCACACAAGTCTACTACTCCAAAACATTTCTAAAGGATTTATATGCTGTAAAACTCATTTCCATTCTTCTGGAAACAATTTTCTTAGAATAGAATCATTGGTTTATCGTTTACTGGTAAATGCAATAATTAAATCATCACACCAAATTCAGAAAGGATTTCCTTTTGAAATGTGAGATATATCTTGCTAATTAAAGGCCATTGATGTATTTTATATTTAAAAATAAAGTGAAGGATAAGACTTTGAAATCCTCAGCAATTAACTCAGCAGTAAAGCCTGGATCAATACTGAACCTCCACATTCATAAGCTATAATCTACCCAAATGCAAATCAAAAGCATCACATACATATTTTAATAATCAATAAAACACAAATTTCATTTACAGTTTTTTCAAGATAATACTTCTACTTCCTACATGTCAAACATGTAATTTTGAAATCTGTAGTTTCTAGAATGAAATTGAATGGAAACAATATAGAATACCACAAATGTAGAGCTTCTCAAAATCAAGTGATCCCTCATTTATTCACTACCACCACCTCTCCTAAAATTTTTGACCATCCTCAATATGTAAACTTTTAGAGAGGTATATGAAATTGTCCTATGTCTATCAATTTTTAGCTAAACATGTTTTTAAAATCACATATTAAGACCAATCTAAGAGTATTTTCCTCATATTTCATAAAATAATTTTATTCAAGCTCTTCATATGCATCTTCAAATTAGAGACTTACTGTGGTGATTACGTAGTAAGGTAAAACCAGTATACTGTCAAGTATAAATGTCAAATCACTATATTGTACACCTGAAACTAATATAATATTGTACAGCAAGTATTCTTAAATTAAAAAAAATTTTTTAAAATAAAATTTAAAAAACAACAAAAATAAATGTGATGGTGTCTCTGGAAATTTTATCCTAAGCCATAAGCCCTCTTGCATCATTGAAGGTTTTATTATTTATTATTATTATTATTTTTAATCCTCAACCAAGGATATTTTTTCCATTGCTTTTCAGAGAGAGTGGAAGGGAGAGAGAGAGTGAGAGGGACAGAGAGAAACATCGATCTGAGAGACACATCAATTGGTTGCCTCCCGCATGTGGGATCGGGCCTGAAACCGAGGTACATCTCCTTGGTCGGAATCAAACCCAGGACCCTTCAGTCTGCAGGTCCATGCTCTAACCACTGAGCAAAACTGACTATGGCAAAGGTTTTATAATTTAAAAAAAAAAATTCATGCTGTAGTAACCTCCACAACATAACCACTCATTGTTTCTGCTCTTTAAAGTAATTTTTAAATTCTGGCTTACAGTTACAATCAACAACACTACAAATCAACAATAACGACTAAAGCTGCTGTTATATTTGCTTCTATACAGCGATTTTATCAGTGGACAACTATAAGCATCCAGAACTAACACTGACTGAAGTTGTTTCACACTTACGTGTTATCCCCAAATAGCATTCACTGGTCAAAATAAAGTCATTGAAAGCACATCATGTGAGATTTGCAAGGACTCAGTTATCTGGCAATTCCTTTTCAGAAAGGACAATTGTGGGAAAATATCTTCCCTCAGGTTTAGACATGTACAGTAGTTCATACACAGTATCTGTCATTCATCACCATAAGCAAATGAATATCCTTATTGAAGCAACAACAAAATCCTACAAGGCCAAACACAGAGAGGCTCTAAAAAAAATCCTTAACTTTCCTTTTCTCCTTGAATTTCTCTAACTTAAGCTGAGCAGGACAACATTTCTCCTCTAAGAATCTTGTTTTGTCCCAAGTATACTTTCCTCATGACAACAGAAGGGGTAGGACATCTTCCAGATCCCTTTAAAGAAACAGAATTCATTAACAGTGGTAACTTTATAAGTATAGGCTTCTGGTTTGAAAAAAAGTTCCAGTAAAAGTAGAATTTTACTGGGTCCTAAATTTCCTTATCATGAGGAAACCTCCATAACTAGAGGTTGCCAAAGTCAGCCCTTCCTTGAGACCCTGCTAATTGACCAGCAAGCAAAAGCTGGGCTCCTTTGATAAAGGGAAGCATTTTCTTATAAGTCTTAGCTCTTTCCCCAGAATTACCTCCACTGGTCTGGAAAATTATTTATGAAAGTACAGACATAACATGGCCCTGTATTTTCACAAAGTTTTAGAAAAGTTTTTGTTTAAAGTAGCATTCTGTCTCAGGCATACTGAAGAGAACTAGAGGAAAGAAAATCCAGCCACGATGTTGGTACTGGAGCTTCAACAGGAACAAAGAGGGTGGCTGGGGAAATAGTAAAGCAAAGAATCCTTTCTCCATTGGAGAGTCCCCTCCAGAGGAATTGCTCTGCCCTGTACTGAAATGGTTTGTACTTCATTTCCACAGGGAGACCCTATCTTTAAAATCATGCTTTCAAACTCTGGTGCCTGCTCCCTAAGGATATTCAAAATCATGGGATAAACATGCACATTTTCCTAGAGACTTGATATTATAAGAAGCCTGATCAGTATAGAGGTGAGGAATGTCACTGGCAAATTATAATATTAAAACAAATAGATATGTCATAAAATAAAATGTAAAGTGCACGAGTTCTAAAGATACTATTTCAAAGACATATTATACTTAGAGCTGTGCCTACACCTACGGATACCTTTAGGAGTCCTCACTTTCTTCCTGTTACAACTACTTCTGCAGAAATGTTTAAGAAATGTGACTTTAAAGAAAATCTCATATACAATTTTTAATTTTGACTATGAACAAGTTATTTAAACCTTACTCTATGCATGCATACAGAAAAAAGGTAGCAAGACAATCTGTAGACGCAATTACTATTAGACTTTACATTTAACTATTCAGGTCTAAGATATGCAAGTTTTTATCCAGTTTATCCCATACACCTCCATAAAGGCTCTGTTCACCTTCAGGCTCACTCCATCAAATTAACAGGGCCTCGAGGCCTTACCAAAAGTAGCCCTGAGCCTTACACAGACACGTGTGTGCCGGTAGTGTAGTGTCTGACAGTGTGCAATCTCCACCGTACCTGATCTTCCATTCTCTCTGTGCCTTCTAACACTATCTTCTGGACATTCTCTTGCCTTTCCTGAGCGAGAGAAATTCATTAAGATAATTAAAAAAACTACAACATTTGATGCTTATTTTTTACAATACAGTTAAATACAGACATGTTCTTGTATAATTTAGTTCATGGAAAAATATTTTCCACTTTAGGGCAGGAAAGGGGAAGGGAGGAAATTAACCAACATATCCATACAACCTCCTTTCCTTTGCAGTTAAAAACAGATAATTTAACAGAAAACAGTCAATGTAACATATGCATAGTTTCACAAAGGTAATGATTTGTACGTTTCAAATTAGCTAAGGTCAAGTTGAGCCTGGAGAATACAGAACTTCCTGGTTTTAAATGATTTTCATATACATGTGAAAAACAAGGAGGGAAGCCTGCTGACACAGTAAGAAACTAGTCCTTTAACAGGGGTGGGGAACCTTTTTTCTGCCAAGGGCCATTTGGATATTTATAATATCATTTGTGGGCAATACAAAATTATCAACTTAAAATTAGCTATGAAAAAAGCTCCTAGATTTATTGAATTTCAAGTCCCGCCTGCAGCTGCCTTGGCAGGACCAGACCTACACGGCCAGCCAGCCAGATGTTCCCAACTCAGCTTTAAAAGATACTATTTTTCCTTAGTATCTAAGCAAAAGCCTCATAAAATTAGGAATTCTTTAATGTATTTCCATGTTAGTATCAAACTGCAAAGTAGAAATACATGTGTTCTTCAGATCTGCCAAAAGTATATGGAAATATAAGTATCACTATACATTAAACTATAAGATTTAGGGAATAACAATAATTTCCTCTAGCCCAATTTGCAAAAGGAAATGAAATGAATAGGAATATCATTCATGATATGAAAATGAAATGAAAGGAGTATCTCCTAGAAATCATTTTGTCCAACCTCCTTATTTTACAAACATGGAAACTTGGCAAAGAAGTTAAAGGGACCAAAGGCTCCATGGCCAACTACTTATAAAACAATTGTTTTAAAATGCTTGTACTCACACACAGTAGTAAGTGAAACACGCAGTCATGCAATTCCAAAAAACAAACAAACAAACAAAAGCTTTTAGGGTCAAAGGACCTAAACCTTATGTTCCCTAATTTCTCTAAGCTTTAGCTTTTTAATTTTTTTTTTGATTCTCATTCGAGGATATTTTTTCCATTGCTTTTCAGAGCATGGAAGGGAGAGAGAGAAACATCGACTGGCTGCCTCCCCTATTCGCCCCGACAACCGAGGTACATGTCCTTGGCCAGAATCTAACCCAGGACCCTTCAGTCCTCAGACCAATGCTCTAACCACAGGCAAACCGGTTAGGGCTAGCTTTAGCTTTTTATTTGTAATGTGGAGCTATCATCTCCTACGTTCCAGGGTCATTATGAATATCACAGATATCAGACTAGATCTGTCTGTATCTAATAGGGTAGATGCAAGTAATAGCTACTATTTGGAGTTAATTGCATATAATTTCTAAAAATTAGACAGAAATGTATCAGCTATATTAGATGACTTATAAGCTCAAAACCACTCACTTTATGCATCCATATTCTTCCTTTCCGGATAATGTGTGTTAATCTATCAACACACACTCTGTGAAGTGGGAGGTAGAAGCTGAGCTCTGTCTGTGGAAGTATAATTGACAGTCCATATGTGCTCCTGTCCCCATTCCAGTTTCCATCGAAGATTAATGAAACAATAATGACTCCCTTTTCCGATAAGACAAAAAACTTTACATCTATAGCCCCGCTCTCTGCATTTCGAAGGATTTCTCCATTTAGGGTGTGGTTGGCAAGAAAAGTTATTTCTCCATCGCTGAGAAGGACCTGTTCTGTCTTTGGAGCCCAAATGTGTCTTACTCTAGGACCAAGAATATTGTCCCAGTAAGCAAAGGTGGCTGCTAATAAAGGTGATTCACCGCTTAAAGCAATCTCTGTCTTGGCAACAGCTGGCGATGGCGGAGGACAGAGAGTCGACATCACTACATCCCAACCGTCACATTATCCACATGCTCCAAGGGTGCCTAAACAGGGTACACAAAACCAATGATTAGGTTCAGCGATTTAAAAGTCATCCATCAAAAACCCAAATAATTTTGGTACATGTGGGTTTCCCCTCTTGAGTCAAAAAGATTTGGAAGCATGTCTCCAACCAGGACATAGACAGTCAACTAGCAGGACAGGTGCACACTGAGTGTTTGCTGATGTAATTTTACAATACATAGTAACTTGCCACTTACATTCAGAAATATGCTTAGAAACCCAAAGTGACAATGAACTAAAAAGGGCCTCTGAACATTCAGATGAAATATTATGAACTAAATAAAGCTCATAGAATAGATCCTCACTGTCCCCACATATCCAGTGAATGTGTAATTCTAACATAATCGGATATTTGGTTCCTAAACCGTATCAACTCAAGAGGACTAAATGAGGAAGGGGAGGGCTCAGTTAGAGACACTGATGCTCCTTGTGGGCTGAACTGTGTCTCCCTCAAAAATCTGTTCAAGTCCTAACCCCCAGGATCTGCGAAAGTGACCTTATTTGGAAATAGACGTAATCAAGTTAAAATGGGGTCATACTGGATTAGGGAGAGTCCTAATCCAATGTCTGGAGTCCTTAAAGGAGAGAAAGAGTTGGAGACACATACATAGAGGGAAAAGGGTCATGTAAAGACGGAGGCAGAAATTTGAGTGATGCAGCTATAAGCCACGGAATGCCAAGAACTGCCGGTAGTCAGAGAAGCTAAGAGGAGGCAAGAAAGGGTTCTTCCCTGGAGCCTTGTTTCTGCTGACACCTTATTTTGGACTTCTAGCTTCCAGAACTGTGAGAAAATAAAGTTCTGTTGTTTTACATTGCCCAGTTTGTGGTACTTTGTTATGGCAATCCTAGAAAGCTAGTAAAACATCTGACATACATACCTTAAAAGCTGCTAAAAAGGCAAAGAAAAAATTAAAAATCAATAAAAAGACAAAAAAATTTGTACAATCCCAGCAGTGTGGGCCAGAATGATAACACAAAATGAGCAAACAGTCCTGTTATTCTCAATGAGCTCTCTGAGTATCAGGGTACTAGAGCCCATTACAGGTGTTTAGAATGACACTGAGATGCAAAGATAAACCATTTACTATGCTCTTCAAGAAAGTAACATAGAATTTTATCACTACAAAGAGAGTTCTATGCAAATGGCTGAAATAAAAAGCTTTAGCTATTTAGAACATGAAGGGAAAGAGAGTGGATGGGTCCTGTTCAAGCCTTTCAATCTACTGAGAAAACAGGAATGAAGTGCCCAAGGTCACTGAGCCAGGCTAGAACCCAGATCTGCTGTGTATCTTAACCTTCTCAAATGTATCACTCCAAGGGTGCATATCCTATGTGGTTAGTGTACACTGAATCATTTTTGCTTAATAAAAAAAATGGAATATTTATTTGTATTCAAAGATGAAAAATTTAAAAAATGACAATTTCATTTACACAATTCTAAATTGTAGAATCCATTCATCAAAACTGTAAAGGACAGCAGTTGTTCGCTGAAATGTGATATACCTATCTTTGCCTCTATGATTGCTTTGGGAGAACACACTTGATCTATAACTGAAGTTATGTCAAAGTAAACCATTTTACTTAAAACAAAGGATTTTATCCACATCTTGTCAAGAGAGTTCAGAGACTGATGAAAAGTAGCGACTTCTATTTTTAGAGTGCTAGATGCACACTTTTATCATGATGTCAAAAATAGGCATAAACAGCTTGGCAACACACTTTAAGTATGTGCAGAAATGGTTTAACACAAAGACGGTTCTAACGTGTTTATCTTTTATTTCAGGAATTCATTTAGAAAATGTTTACTTTTTAATATGTTATATCACAATGTAAGTGGATATGTGCTATATAACTTGTTTAAAATATTCACTGTTTTGGATACGGTTTAAGCAGTCAGATTACAATGACAGAATACAGGAATGTAATTTGAATTGAAACTGTATTGATGCTATTGTCATCATTAACAGCAGCAAACTGGAGGCCAAGGAAATGAATTAAGTAAACACACAGCCATAAAATAGTATTGTAATATATTTTTTCTTTTTTTTTTTGGATAAAAAAGGTAGATAATCATAAAGGCAAGATTGCAACTCAAGCATTTCATCATTACATTGAAAATAAAAGCATTTCCTAAAATTGAATTGAGCCCTAAGGCAAAATCTGGTTGGATTAAGGGAAAACATTTTAACTGATAGTGAAAATTAAACCATGATAGACCACTAATTATATTTGGTCTCACTGCTAGTATCATTAGAAAGAAAACAAAGGACAAGGATCATGTTGTTTAGCTTTAAATCCTGCCAAAAGAAATAACTCGAGAAATGAAATGTCACAGAGAAGTGTAAATAGGAGTTGTAAAAATGACTTTACTAACACTTAAAGTGATCTTTTTGGTGAAGAAAATCCATATATACAAATGTGGTTGGGAAAAAAAACTGGGTCAAAACCAGTAGTCTTTCTTTTTAAAAATATCTACATATCTATTTACATGCAGTGTTGGTTTCCCCAGCAGGTAATCAAACATTAGCCTTAACAGTCTTTTGAGGGAAGCCAGGATCCAAATTGGGTGACACCGTGGCTTGCCACTCCTGTAAACAAAGAACAGGGTTGATGAGATGTATCCAATATATTTTCTGAAAATAATCCAACATATGCAAATTATATTAACTATCACTTGTTAAAACTGTTAGCAGAGTGGTAGGCCTGAAGCTTTGCTTTTTCTTAAACCTTTACTAAAAATCAGTCATCTCTTTTCCAACTGGTGTTTAGAAAGAGGGTTGGTCCACTGGAGTTGTAAATCACAATTCCACCATCATAAGACCCACACTTTTTGTAACCATGCTTTCTGTTTTTCTCCCAGCCTAACAGAACCAGGGTCCTAAATCAGTCCACTTTAGGAGACAGGAGCTGCCAGAGGAACTTTAACAGTGAACTGCTTGTAACCACCAGACAGTTTGCAACACTTTCTAAATTTTCATTAGGTAAGACTCAGAGATGTTCAAGATATCACTATCAGGCCATCTCCCACAGCTTCCAATTTCTCAGATAATTGGCTAACCTACCCTCTGAACTACTTTAAATTGAGCCCAAGGGCAGGCTTCAAAGACAGGAGTTTGTATAGGTTTTCTACTTCTTTTTCCGAAAGGAAAATTTTGGACACGGCTAAGAAAGCCAGAAAAAAAGAGACTATTTTATCGATTTTATAAGGAAAAAGAATCTTTAGCCCCTATGCAACTGTTTCCTGGAGCAGGTTAGTGCTAGAGGGTTACTGCAGTGTGGTCTATAATTTTTCTCATTTTTCGTATGCATAAAGAGCACAGTCATCATAAGGAAAATCCAACCGATTTCCTTTCCTAAAGAGTGGCAGGGTTTGGCTGAGGTGCTGGCAACAGTATCTCTGTCACACACACCGTCACATTTCAAGCCTGGACTCCATACTATTAGTCAACCATGTATTACATTCTTGCTTCTGTGATGTTCCCATTATGTTCAGTTTTCCAAAGTCGGAGAAAGATGCTATCTAACAGTATTTTCCAGTGCCTTTTGTACACGTTAAAAGTAATGCCAAAAGCACTGCGTCCCCTTGCTTTGCATCACAGGTGAGGGGTTGGAACCGCCCGACTCGGAATTTATCCCCTGGCCGCCGCCAGCTGCCGCTCTGCCAGCGCCTAACAGTCCCCACTTTCTGAAGGGCCCTCCCCGGGGCACGCGCGGACCCCCCTCCCGTCTCCTGCACCCCGGCGCCTGGGAGAGCTCCGGGGCCGCTCACACCCGCAATCAGGGCGCTCCTTTCTGCAGCTGATACCGCCCGTCGAGCGGCCGCCAAGTCGCTACGGCCACTTCCCTTAAGTCGGCCTGTGTGACCGCGGAGGGGTGAAGCAAGCAGGTCGCGTCCCGCGGAGCGGAGCGCAGGCGACACCTGCCGCCCCACCTTCAGCCC